CTTGAGAGTTAGCACTATAAAAAGCCTTACCCAATGCAACCCCAATTAACCAAAGCTCTCAATTAAATAAGAGTCATTTCTATCTCCTGGGGCTGGTACCTAAAAATTCCCAATGCACATAGAAATCAAGCAGTCAGTAGCAAAAGAGGATCCATGGTTGCCAAGACATTCAAGAACAGACCAGAAGCACATAAGAGTCCCTGGCAGCTGAGACACATGGACAGACCAACAGAAATCAGCAGTGCCCCAAACACTGATGAATAAATAATTAAACAATAACCATTAGCTCCTAAGTATGATTATGCCCATTTTAAAAATGGCATTAAAAAAAAAGAATAAAGAAAAAAAGAACTCAGAATTTAAGCCATTTGTCCCAGCTGTCAAGCCCATAGCAGTTAAAAAAGCAGACTCAAGTCGGAATGCCTGTGCTGGAATCCTGGCTTGGTTACTTGCCTAGCTGTTTCACAGTGGACCATTTCATTAACCTCAGTTGCTTCACCTATAAAAGATAACCAGAATGCTGACTTTAAAATATGGTTCTAAAGGCTAAATGAAGTTAACAGATATAAAGCAGAGTACCAGGCACATACCAGCATAAGTTTTAGCTCATATTAACAGGGTGAAATCTGAACTAAAACTGGACTCCAAGTTCAGCATTCCATAAATCCCATTAACTTACAATACTACTTTTATCTGTCAAGGTAGCCAAAGATCACCTTCCAGCCCAGTTTACCTGGGGACTCTCTATAAACTGAAGGCCTAAGCAACAGTAGAGAATTCCAGGAGCCTGGGCAAGGGGGCAGCCCTGCCCTGCTAAGCCCCCCACCCACCCCACCCCCGTTTCCCCAGACACTAAGTAGTGTAAAAGAGCTCGCAGGCACCCCATCCATTTGAAGACCCTGGCCTCCCCCACACTAGTTCTTTGCTCAGCTACTTGTGTTCCCTGTTCCCCGACACCTCGAACTTAACTCCAAGAGAGAACCTGTTTTCCAGGGTGTCATCACTCATGACCCTGCATCATTCTGTCCATCTGGGCATTTGTATGCTTCGTGGGGCAAGTTCTGTGCACAGTCCCTTCTAGTATCACAGCCCAGACCACAGCAAGGTAAGCAAGCAAGGCTACTTCCCAGCGGCCTAGGTTCCCACATCAAACTACCTAGAGGAAACTCGAGTCATACACATCAAACAACTGGTAAAGCAGAAATAGATCTTTTAAAGTTGGGGATAAGCTCTTTTAAACTTCTAGTTTTTTCAGTCTTGAGAGTTGGTCCTGATTTTACTTTATGTCTGGGGAGAGAGCTCCTCACTTGCTATTTGTCAGAAGGATTTAGAAGGACAGTTTCAGAATTTGTGACAGCCAGGCTTGCCTGCTATCTTCTAAGTGACAGTGATCTTGAACTTTGTTTTAGGTCCAATCAGGACAGGGTCATGTAGCAATAGAAWGCAGGGGAAAAAAAGCAAATTGTGATGCCTTAATTCCTCTTTTATGTGAAAAGTACTTCAAAGCTAAACAAAGACACAGATACCAACTCATCACCCAAGTAATTTATAGGACTGTTTTAAAAAGTTTTTTAAAAAGTCCCCCTTTAAAAGSCTGGTTTCAGTGCTGCCACTAACTCATTTTTGGCAAGTCCCGTTCCTGAGCTTCAATTTCCTTCCTTGTGAAACTCAGGCCAAATCAGACATAAGACTCTTCTGACTCTATAGCTTCTGTTTTTACATAGTGCTTCTGGGTAGAACTTGGTTTGTCCTTACTCAGAAAGAAAAGATGTGAGCACAGAGTTTACCAAAGCAGGATAGGGAGAAGACCAAGAACACTGTAAAAAATTTCCTTCTTTCTTAGTTTTGGGTTATTTATAATTTCAAGTAATTTCTTGAGACTATAGATATGCCTTTGGTACATTCACTTGGCAGCTGAAGGGGAAAAATAACCAATCTATTGGCCCAACAGTAAATTAGACTGCACTTGGTCTCTGCCTATACTTAGCCCTTGGGTCCTTTTTCTTGAGCCCATCTTCTCCTCTAACTCCTGATTATCTCTGAATTCTATAATGATCTCTACAAAGCTAATGAGCTAACCTGCCATTTCCTCAGTGATCTTGCTCACCATGCAAGTCTTCTACAGCCCTCGGACTTTACAATAAGTTAGCAAGATTATTTTGGGGGTGGGGTAGTGGTTGTACTATCCCTTCAAATACCACTGTAGGGGCCCAGTAAAAAAAAAAAAATATGGGCATCAGCTTCCACTGAGACTTCAAGGCAGATTATCATCACTTTGGTCTAATTTCAAAATCATTCTAAGTTGCAGGAGATGGAGCAGAGGGTGGCTGTGAAGGACTTTTCTGTTTAACCAGTAGAAATTAGGTTATCTCTAGGATTCCCTCCAGTTCTGACATTACTGGACAGGATTGGCAGGCTGTAAACCCAAGACCCTGTGTCAGATCATGACCACTAAATCTTGGAAGCTTGGGTCAGGAAAATTAACCTGCAGATATTTGGATCTTTGTTCTCCACTTTTAATATCACACAGGCAAAATGATCACTTGCAAAGTTAACAGACAATAAAGACTGTCAGGAGCTGGGATTGTGGCTCAGGCGAGCGCTCTACCGCCAGCACAAGCGGGACCCGGGTTCGATCCTCAGCACCACATAATAAAGGCATTGTGTTGTGTCCATCTACACCTAAAAAAATATTTAAAAAAAAAGATTGTCATTTTCATAAGCTGAGCAAATACATTTTCTTCACTGAGCCCAGAACATTGTAGAGAATCAAATATTTTGAAGACTCTAAATAAGTAAAAGGGACAACATCAAGTATGTGACCTAAAGCAAAATATTTCATTTCTCTAGTTTTAGTTTGCAAAGCCAGGATGAAAATACCAAAGATTTTGTCAAGTTGGTGTTTCTAACACAGTTAATAAGATGTGTTCTATGGTCAGGTTTGGGAAACTTCAAGAACATGAATCACAGCACCTCATGCCAGTAGTTCTTGCCACTCAGGGGGCTGAGGCAGGAGGACTAAGTTCAAGGCCAGCCTGGGCAACCTAAAGAGGCCCTCTCTCAAAAAATAGAAAGGTTGGGGTAGAGAGCCCCTGGGTTCAATTCCTAGTACCAAGCAAAAAAAAAAAAAGACAAGGGGAAGTAGAAGGGGTTCAGAATGCAGCCTGAATTCACTGAGGTCGTGAATTTCTCCTTATCTGGAGCACTTATTGCTATTCCCAGTTTACACAGCAATTCTATGACCTTAGGGATAAAAGCATGCTCCTCACAGGTTTTAGATGTCCCATGTCCTGTGCACTAACTAGTTCAGTACTGAATATTAAGTCCAACCCCAAAGCCCATGGTATTAACTACTATTCTCTGCTGCTTCTGATCACTGTGGAATTCTTAAAAATTCTAGCTGAATGGTAAATTTAAAAGTATTTATATTTTGGGAGAGTAAGCAAGGACTGTAAATTGAGGTTAAAGTTTTAAAATTGGCATCAGTGAAATAAAGGTAAGGGAGTGTTTGGCAACGCAAAATTCCCACATCTCACAACAGTCCTGAAGTATGAAATCCAGAACATTCATTAACCATGGTGAAAACACCTGAGAAAGGATGACTTAAAAATAAGTGAGAAAAAGAAATGTCCCGAGAGTCTTTTCAAAACAAAAGACTTCACTCTGGGGAAAAGGTGGGCTTTTCAGAATTAAAGGGGCAGGGACTGACATAAAGATATAAGTCTGTTTTGGAAAAGGGCCCCAGGTGATATGGTTTGACATCCAATCCACTGTCGAAACAACTAACTTGAAAACAGGACAAGGAATTCTCTTGGCATAGACTAATGGGATTCTATAGTAAAATTGGGCAAAAGCTCCAAAGGAAACCAGCCTACCCCACCACAAATCCTGCTTACTCTTAAAAGTTCGTTCTTAGGTAGGAAAGTAGTATTACTCATTTTGAAAGGACTCAGACCTTGAAAGACATTCTGGGTCCACATAAGTATGAGAGGTACATTAAGAACAAGGAGTTATAGTCCAACTTCCCTTTCAAGCTGATTWACTTTAATCAAATTAAGTTCACCTCTAAGCCTTAATTTCTCTATTTATAGAAATGGGACAGAATTTACTTAAACATTATTACCTAAAATCACTCAGTGCTCAGACCATCCCTGAGACAGATTAATTTTCCCCTTGATTCTTCAGCCTCAGTGAGTCTCTTCACTTTTCTAGCCCACTGTTCCTTTTACTCTATGAAGAGATCCTGGTTACTTGTTCCCAGAGGGCTATAAGCTCCTTGGTCCCACAGAGCCTAATTTTCTTTACAAGTAAAATTACTTTCCAGTCAGATTCTGAGGTTAGGAAAAAGATTCAGAATGCAAAAAGGCGGGAAAGACTCAGGTGGCTTGTATCTGACAGTTCTAGGTCCCCCTATAGGAGTTAAAGTCTTCTGGGGCATGCAGATTAATAAGACAGAAAATCAACCMGGTTTCCTGACTACTCTGGGATGAAGGGCTGGCGGGGTGGGGGGGGTCTCAGAGGAAAACGCAGACTAGGAATGCAAGAGTTTGGGAGACRAGCTGGAGGATGTCAAGAAACCAGGAACTAGAGAGGGTGGATAAAGTCTTTCTTGCTTTAGAAGGAAAAAAAAAAAAAACCCTAGAGGGTGAGGGCACTCCCCACACAGTTCTGCCAACAACTCAGAACAAGACTCCTACCCCTCCCCATCAGCTCTTATAGGTAGCAGACATTTAAAAAATAAAGTGGGCACACTAAGTACCAAGATAATGATCAGCGTTTAAATGAGCTTTTATTATGAAAATGCCAACTACCATTAGGGGCCCCAGGCTGATCTAGAGTACGGATAAGCGGGCCTCCTAMTGCCTGGGCCTGGGAAAGGAGGGTGTGTCTGAGCCCAGGGTGACAGGACCAGGGCCTGGGGGGCCCCCGGGACAGTGCGGCCGGGCGCTCCGGAGGGAGGGCAGGCGTCCCGGCCCCGCGTGGGCCCGGGGTGTCCTTACCTTTGAGCGAGGTCTCCACCAGGCGCAGGTAGAGCTGCGAGCTCTTGTTGCCGTGACTCATGCGCTGGGCTAGCCCGTTGCGCTGCAGGACGCACTCCTCAAACTGCACGACATTCTGGTGGCGCCGCTTGAGGCTGGTCAGGGCCCAGAATTCGGCCAGCGCCAGCTCCACGTTCTCGGGGGCATCGCAGCGGATCTTCTTGACCGCCACCCGGGCCCCGCTGCGCCCGGCCACTGCCTCGTAAACCACGCCGTAGCTGCCGCGCCCGATCTCCGCCAACAAGCTGTAGCGCGGCCGCGCAGATCCGCCGCCGCCCTCGGGCCGCCTCCTCGCCAGGTAGGCCTCGCCCGGGACCTCGGCCGCCACCGGATTCATGGCCTGGGCCGCCGCCGCCGGCCTCAGCTTCGCGCTGGGCGCCCGCGGCACTGGGCTTCGCCTTTTCCGCTCCAGGCTTTGTGTACCTCTGCGGGCGCCGTCCTCCTCCCCCGTTTCCATGGCTGCAGGCGGCGGGGGGAGCAGCAACGGTGCTGCCCGGGACCCCCCTGCCTCATCCCTCCGTCCGGCCCCGGGACGCGGAGGAGCGGGACCTTGGATTGTGACCTGTGGGCGAAAGAGTCAGTTGAACGATTAGGACGAGGCGGGGAGGCAAGGAGCGCAGGCCGCGGAGCGTCCCACCTCCTCCACCACCGGCCGCCGCGGCCCCTTTAAGACAGAAGCCACCGCCGGGGATTGAACGGGGGAGGGGAGGGGAAAGCGGGAAAGACGGAACCACCAAGCCGTGGCTCAGAGGGTGAACCGGAAAGAAAAGCAAAAACTTTCCGCTTTTTCCGTTAAGTTATGGGGTAGGAATAGGAAAAACAAGAACTAGCAGCCTCYACGATGTATGAAAAGCGCCTTCAAGGAGGGATTCTGACTGTTCAAATATTCTTCCCTGATTGGTCTCCTCTGAGATCCCCCTCCCCGCCTCCTGCCCTGTGCGCTCCCGGGTGTAAACAGTCCATTGAATTAAGACCTAGCAGAGCCCCGAGGATCGACCCAAGTCCCCCAGGGCACCGGGTAAAGGAAACGGACTAAAAGTTCGGCCTCTCGGAGTGCGACAAACCGAAGACCCCGTTTCCCGCCCCAGTCACCAAGGCAGCGGGCGGTAGCTCCAGAGCTGGCTCTCGCCTTTACTCCCCGGGCCCGACCTTACCTGGCCGGCACCGTTCCACTTCCGGGCGGCCCGCTTTCCCCCTGGAGCCCTGGCCTGGGGATGGTCCGTTCCGGGCCGGAGCTGCCTCCGGGACCTAGTTTCGCGGGAGGCGGTGGCCCGAGTGAGGCGTACGACAGATCTCACTGATGCGCCGGTGGTGGCAGGGGCGCTCGCGGGGGAGGCCCAGGCTTCCAGGTTCCCGTGCCTCTCCACGTGTTCGCGCCAGCTGAGCCCTTTACATAACCTCTTTATATAAGCTGCACCTCCTGCTGCCGCCCGGGTCAGTGGAGATTCCTGGTGGCCCATCCCCCGGGAGGCCAGCCGAGTTCTGCGCCGCCCAGGTCTCGGCAAGGTCGACGCAGCCGTCGCCACCCAGCGCACCCGGGGACGCTAAGCCGGGGCCCAATCACGGGCGAGAACACCCGACCTACAAAAAATACGCGCCAAATTCCCGCGATTCGCGGCGGCCTCCGGGACTACGCAGCCGCCTGCGCACCGCAACCGCCTCTCCTCTCGAGAACTGCGTGAGGACTAACCGCCCGCGGTTGGTGCCTAATATATACTGATTGGATGATTGGATTCGTTAGTTTGATTGATTCCCAGCTCGGGCCTGGGAACCAACTGGGTTGGAATGCTCACTGTCACTCCTACTTACCAGCCCAGCGATCTCTCATTGCCCCACCCTGAACTTCAGTTTCCTACTCAGCAAAATAAAATGGGCCTGCCTTCCCACCAAATGAAATGTGGTGGTTAATTGGGTGTGGGCCGACAGCGCTGGGTGGAAGCTCCATTTAGGCACAGGTTTTTAAATATCTTGATCACTGCTTTGTACCCCCATTATCTAGTAGGTGCCCCGTATTTGTTAGTTGAAATCTTCAGATATTTACCGAATGTGCTAGGTACCATTTTAAATCTCAGAGAAAAGTCAGAGACAGTCTCTGCCTTAATGGAAGTTCTTCACCACTGGAGGAGACAAACCACTTGGGTTATTTGGGGCAAGTTCATCAACCTCCTGTCTTTACTTTTCATCTATAAGAGCGGGACGATTCAAAGTGCTTATCCCCTTAAAGCACCTAGAACAGGACAGGTCTTGCACACAATAAAAATTAAGTATTAAACTCACAATGTAATACTGGCCAGTAATAAGCGTGACAGAGCTGTGGACAGGCCACTTCTGATAGTGTGTTCACTGAAAGGCTCTTTTATTTTTTGATAAAATTTCAAACGTATTCATAAATTGTAAGACTAGTAAAGAACTCTCATATACTTTTCAACCAGAGGAATGTTTAGTCTGCCRTATTTGCATCCTCTATATAATACATCCTTTTTCTTTAAAACCAAGAGTTTCTGACATTATATTCCTTTATCCCTTTATAGTTTTTCTGTATTTCCTAAGAGCAAAGGCATTATCATACAATCTCAGTACAAAGATCAAAACCAGGAATTTTAACCAGAACCTTCTTTTATTTAATACACCTGTTCATATTTTAAGTTTTGCTAATTGTGGCAAGAATGCCCTTTATAGCTATTTCCTGGGATCACTTGAATTCCATTGTCAGGTCTCTTTTACTTTGGTTTAATCCTGGCAAGGCAGTTAGCTACTCAGCCTTCCTTTGTCTTTCATGACCTTGACATTTTTGGAAAGTACTGGCGGGCTGTTTTGTAGAATGTCACTAAATTGGATTTGTCTGATATTTTCTCACAAGTAGATTCAGAATATGCACTTTTCAACAGGAATTTTACTGAAAGAAGGTTATGTCCTCAGTGTCTCACATCAAGAAGCACATGACACTGGGTTGTCCCAACATTGGTGATATTATTCTAGATCATTGGTTAAAGTTATGTCTGCTGAGATTCTCCACCATAAGTTTGCATTTTCTCTTTGTAACATTAAGTATTTTAGAGGAATATATTTTGAGACTAAATATTCTGTTCTTCACTAGATTCTCATCTACTGGCTTTAGCATTAATTGATGATTCTCATTTGGACAAATATATATTATATACATAATATATATGTATATATGTATGTACATGTGCATATACATACAAGAGAAGGTGCAAATGTGACAAAATATAACAAATTTTATTATTTGGTTGAAAGTATGTGAGAGTTTTTTGCTATTCTTAAATTTTATGTGGACATTTGAAATTGTATCCAGAAAATAAATAAAGCTTGAAACAGTTCTTGTTAAAATGGTTGTGAAATGGTGATCAGGAGACCTTATATGAGCTTTTTAGGGCTTGCCATAACAAAATACCATAGACTGTGTGGCTTAAATGACATTTATGTACTCATGGTTCTAGAGCCTAGAAATCCAAAATCCATGGGCAGATCTGGTTTCTCCTGAGCCTTCCTCCTTGCCTTGCAAATGGCTGAATTCTTGCTGTGTCCCCATGTGGTCTTTCTAAGGAAAGAAGCCTCACTCTGATGTTTTTACCAACAGCTCCATTCTAATGTAATCACTTCTTGAAAGACCTAATTTTCAAATATGACCACTTCATAGGTACTAGGGGTTGCGATTTCAACATATAAATTTTATTGGGGGGGACACAATTCAGTTTATAACCATCCCTTTGGAATGACATTTGAGTTGATACCTAAATTTCAAGAGGCCAGCCATGCTAAAACTAGTGAAAGTTTCTTCCAGGAATCGGGAACAGCAAGTATAAAAGCCCTGAGATAGGAACAAGTTTGATGGTAAATTTCAGCCAACTAGTGAGAGTGTAAGATGGTAAACCAGTTGGGAAAAAGAAAACAACAGTTTGGCAGTTTCTTACAACATGCAATGTATATTTACCCTATAGTCCAGCAATTCCATGTCTTGATATTTACCCCAGATAAATGAAAACCTAACATTCACAAATAGATGTGGTTAAGAATATTCATAGCAGCTTTCCGCATAAGAATCCCAAACTGGAAGGCACTCCCCTTCCATGTTCATCAATAAATGAATGCACAAATTATGGTTATATTCATACAATAAAGGAAAAAAAAGTAATGAAACATTGATACTCAACAAAAAGTGCAAAAGAATACCTAATGGGTGATTCTATATACAATCTTTTTGTTTGTTTGTTTGTTTGGCACTGAGGATTGAACCCAGGGGTTCTTTACCACTGAGCTATCCCCAGCCCTTTTTTGGGGGGGGGGAGTGTGGGGGGGTGCCAGGGATTGAATTCAGGGGCACTTGGCCACTGAGCCACATCCCCAGCCCTATTTTGTATTTTATTTAGAGACAGGGTCTCTGAATTGCTTAGTGCCTCGCCTTTGCTGAGGCTGGCTTTGAATTTGTGATCCTTCTGGTCTCAACCTCTGGAGCCTGTAGTGTTACATGCATGCGCCACTGTGCCCAGCTCCTAGACATTTTATGTTTTATTTTGAAATAGGGTCTCTTAAATTGCTAAGGCTGTCTGCAAACTTGTGATCCTCCTGCCTCAGCCTCCCAAATCGCTGGGATTACAGGTGTGCCACTGGCCTGGCCCTATAAGCAATTCTTGAAAATGCAAATTAATAGTGACAGAAAGCAGTTTAGTAGAGGGATGGGGTGGGGAGGGAGGGGAAAAGATAGAAAACAAAAGCGCCTGAGGCGCTGTTGGGCTGTTGGGCTGTTGGGCAGTGGACAGGTTTTGTTATCTTAATTGTTGTCTGTCTCCAGGGTGTGTTAAAATACTCCAAATTGTACCCTTAAGTTTAGCTTATGTACTTCGATTTTGCAACTTCACATCAATAGTTATTTTTAAAATGAAAGGAAAAGATAACATATTCTATGTTTCTATTGATATAAAGTCGGTGACAATGGCCTTCGGTGGCAGAAATCATATCAGTGGTTGTCTTTCGGGCAGAAATTGATGACTGAGGGGCACAAGGTGACTTTCTGGGTAATGGAATTTGATTGTATGTAAGTTGTACCACAGTAAAGTTTGTTTAAAAGGTGAAAAAGCAAAACAAAACTTCAGCTGTGAACACTTGTGTCTTACCTTGTTTTATTTTCGTACTGGGGATTGCCCCCAGGGGTGCTTGACCACTGAGCTAGATCCCCAGCCCTTTTTATTTTGAGACAAGATCTCACTAAGTTCAGTTTCTCAAGGCTTGCTAAATTGCTGAGGCTGGCCTTGAATTTGTGATTCTCGTGCCTCAGCCTCCTGAGTCACTGGGATTACAGGCCTGCAACACCGTGATCAGCTACTTAGAGGTTCCTAAGGGCACAGGCTTCATTGTGAAGCCTTATCCTGTACCTGCCACCCCTCATTCCACAGGTTGAACAAGACCCAGGATCTTTCTTTCTGGCTATTTTTTCCACCGGAATTTTGACGGATTGTATATAAAGTTCCAGGAGAGTTATTGTCTTATTTTAGGTTTGCTTGAATTACAGATGTAACCTATATTCACCAATATGATTAATAACCAACACCTGTGAAAATTTTCTATCCACCACAAGGATTAACAAAGAATTCTCATGACAATTCTGAGAAGTACTTACATTTTAAAGATGAAGAAACTGAGGGTAGAAGTTACTCAGCTGGGGCTGGGATTGTGGCTCAGTGGTAGAGCACTTGCCTAGCATGTGTGAGGCCCTGGGTTCGATCCTCAGCACCACATAAAGATAAATAAATAAAGGTATTGTGTCCAACTACAACTGGAAAATATTTTTAAAAAGGTTACTCAGCTGGGGTGGGGCCTAGGCCTGCAGGCTTTTCCTTCTCCACCCCCACAGCCCCTCCCTGAGGGAAGCAGACTGACCATTCATAACAATCTCTCTTTTCCATTTTTCTCTGTCCACAAAAATGGTGTCAGGTTCTTGACTAGAGCTCGGTATTTAGTGACTGAAGACATTCAAGAAAAAAAGGAAGAGAAACAGTAAGGTTTTAGGCCCTTCTGGTGGGCCTGGGATGCAGAAGGGAAGCCCCCCATGTGCTGGGGGCCTGTTTGCTGTATACAGGGGCCCATGTGAACGCCAGGCTGTTAGCTGTGCGCTTTATACCAAAGGAATCACTGAAATCGAAATAGGCAATGGCTATACCGAATTTAAGAGAAGTCATTCATTCAACTAACTTTATTTTTAACCCTTCCTATGTGCTAGGCAATTGTAGAGTTGATAGAAGGGGAAGAACAAGACCAAACTCAGTGATTGTGTTTGAGTTGACAAAGAAAATAAAGTACTGGAATTATGTAATCCCACATAATATTTGTCTATGAAGGACAATAAAGTTGGCAAAGGGATGACCAGGAAAGGGGAGGGTGCAATTTTAGATCGGATGGTTTGGAGGCTGGATGTGGCGGCCCATGCCTGTCATCCCAGTGACTCAGGAGGCTGAGGCAGAAGGATCACAAATTTGAGGCCAGCCTCCACAACTGAGTGAGATCCTGCCTCAAAATAAAACAAGGGGCTGGGTAATTCAATTCCCTGTGCCAAAAGAAAAAAGAAAGGGAAAGAAAAAAAAAAGGATTGTGAAAAACTCTTTAAGGAGGTGACCATTAAGCAGAGGTCTGATTTTAGTAAAAGAATGTGCCAAATTCATATCTACTGAAGAACATTCCATGCCAGAGGCAAGAGCAGATGCAAAGGCCCTGAGTGGGAAGGAACGTGCACAGAGGCCAGTGGGCCTAGAACTGAGTGGGGCAAGAGTAGTGGGAAGGAGGAGAGAGGGATGTGGTGGGGACCCCAAATGAGGCGGAGCCATGATAAGGACTGGGTGTTTCCTGAGCCCTCACCATCTACCAAATCCCATGGGAGGTGATGTGGCTGGACACCATTGCCACTCCTTTCAAGGAGGAGACAGCTGAGGCTCAGAGTGATTGTTATCTTAGAACTGCCCATGCTGGGCTTGGTGGTACATGCCTATAATCCCAGTAGCTGGGGAGGCTGAGGTAGGAGGATTGCAAGTTCAAGGCCAACCCCAGCAATTTGATGATACTCTATGCAACTTAGCTAGGTCCTGTCTCAAAATAAAAAAATAAAAAGGGCCAGGAAAGTGGCACAGTGGTTAAGTGCCTCCTGTTCAATTTCCCCCTCCCCGCCCCCTATGTCAACAGCTGCAATCCATTCAATCCCTCCCCAGATTCTTTGCCAGAACCCAAATCCTCTGCTATTGCCTGAGCTCCTATCTTCAGTCTAGGAGCAGTACAGTGTAAGGCAGTCCTTCTTAAAGGACTTGGGGGGACTGCCCCAGAGTGGGAAGGCAGAGGGTGAGGGTGGGGCTGGTAACCCCGCCCTGCCCTCTCCCCCCTCCATCCACGTGCTGAACAGGGCTGTGGACACCTAAAGGCAGGCAGCCATGGGCCGGTTCCAGGGTCAAGCAGCAGGCTCTGGGCCAGGAGAGAAGGGTGGGGCCTGGGAGAAATGGGTGAGGCCGACCAGGAGGGTGGAAAAGATTGAAGCAAGGGGGGCCGGTGCTGAGACCRCGAGGGGCATCCTGAGAGGCTGGGGGACTGAGGCGGGAGCGTTGGATTGATGACATGAACTCAGCATCATAGGGATGGAGGACCTAGCAGCAGAGCTGAGGGTGGGCGAGAGCTAAGAGGGTACAAGGGGCTGAGGACCAGCTGGAAGTGGTGCCTCGTGGAGCAGGCCCTGGACAGGACTCCTTGAGCCAACTTGGAGAGCTCCCCTCCCACAGTGGAGCTGGATTTCACAGGGCTCCAAGAGAAARCTGGGACTTCTCATGACGCCTAACACCATGCTGCTTTTAATAGCTGTGGGAGAGAGTGTGTCTCTGTTTTCTGCATAGGAAGACCGAGGCTTGGATGTTGTTACATCACAGATGAATGGAATAACTGGGACTTGAACTCTGGTAGCCTTGAATTTGAGGATCCAAACTCTTAACTCTTCCATCAATGCTTCTCAAAATTGAGCATTGCCTGGAGAGTTGGTGGAAGCCAGATTTTTGGGTCCCCAACTGCCCCTTGGCTCATTCAGTACATCTGGGGTAGGATGGATAATTTGCATTTCCAGCAAATCCCAGTGATGCTGATGTTGATTTGCTGGTCCCTGGGACAACACTTTGAGAAGGACTGCTTTCCAATATGCTTCCCCTACACTGAGCATAATGAAGCTCAGGCAATTGCAGAGGATTTGGGTTCTGGCAAAGAATCTGGGGATGGATTGGAGCTGTTTACATAAGAAACTAAGCAAATAGGACATGAGGTGATTATTAAAGCCCAGGAACAAAAACAATTTATAAGAAAAACATTGTAATCATTATAGACTACA